CCCTCTTCCCCCCGCTACTTGCCCCGCTGGGTCCGTCGCCGCCTGTCCCCCCACACCGACGTGCGAGTACCGGCGCGGCGAGCTGGGGGAGGGAGTTTTGTGTTTCGCCTCTCTCCAGCCGGTAGCCGCGTTCCCTCAGGGCTTGCCCTCGGCTGTGGAGGCTGGTCCCCGGCAGCCTCAGGGCGGCCCGGGAAGTGGCCAGTGCTCCGGGCTCGCCACCCGAAACGCGTGTTACATTTCTTGGGTGGAATCTGGGGTTCTTAGGGGTGAGAGGAGCTCGGCTGTCAGCGTCCACGCAGCAGTGTTCTGCCCTTTGTGCTTTGGGAGCTGGCTGTGGTTTCCCTTGGAAGGAGGCCTGAGGCCTTGCTGGCCACAGCGCTCCAGGCAGCGTGTCTACAGCCCCTTCGTCGTGCAGGCACTCTGGGCTGAAAAAGACTTTGACAGTTTTCAGGTGGAAGCTGTGAATAGCAATCAGGAAAACCTGTGAAAAATGTTTTTGCAGTGGCTACGTTATCATACATAAACATAATTCTGTATCAACAGAGCTGGCTGAGCCAGAAACAGGGCTGTGGGGATGGGGCAGTGGGAGAGTGAGGCGGGAGCTGACCTGGAGGACAGTTTCCTGGGAGGCAATGTGAGGGCGGTGGGGGTGAGGTGCAGCAGTGTTAGCCCTGGGCTGGACGGGCCATGGGGTTGGAGAGTGGGCATGGGGCAGCGCTGCTGGAGCCCAGAAAGGGAAGGAAGAAAGTGAGAGATGTATAAGCAAGGACCCCACATGGGACAAAAAAGGGTTTAGGATTAGCAGAGCAGAAGAGCATGGCCAGAGGAGTGTGTAAGTCTATGAAGCTGACAGTGAGAGAAATACATGGAATAACAGAAACATGGAGGATAAACTATGAGGAGAAAAGGTATTCTTGCTTGTACCAAATTTCTGTGCTCATTCCCCAGTATTTTTGAAGACTGCTGTTATCTTAATGGCTGTCACTTCCTGACCTCACCCAGGGCTGCATGCCAGCGCAATGTTTTCATTTGATCCGCTCTGGAGAATCCTGTTACAACCTGACCAACAGAATAGTGGGGCAGCTGAAAAATACCGTTTTGGTGCTGAACAGAGAACTATAGAGATGTGATGTGCCTGACGTATCAGTGAACAGGTCTATGGAAGTGTTCAGTGAAAACACGATCCGTCTCAGACGAGCCATCGAGCCCTTCACGGGTTGGTCATCACAGGAGGGACAGCCGCCAGCACGGGAAAACCTTGTGCACTGCTGGCACGGACAGCAGACAAGATCTGCTGGCAACACAAGTCAGTAAACAGCACTGAATCCTTTGGTGCCTCCCCTGTTCAGTAATGGTAATTGATTTTTACATTGATTGGTGGGGGAAAGAGCCACATAAATTTGAATATGACTTTTCACTTGGTTTGTACATACTTGTTACTGTAGCGCTTTGAGGAATGCAAAAGGTACTATATAAATCAATATGAAATAGTGGTATAAATCGGGGATGCACCTTGACTCTGTTCCTCATTGTTTATTCACGGAGCAGGAACTGTCTGTATCCTGTCTGTATCCACATGCGTTTTCCTTGGTGTGAGCAGAAATCACTAATGTCCTGAGAGTACAGGTTGCACGCAGTAGGAGAGAAGGATATGTCCAAGATGCCAACCTTGTCTTTGCCATAAGTAAAAAAAATATTAAATAATTTCCCTTTTTAGATTCCCTTTCTGCTTACTGGTGTTCTTTTTGCAGGTTTTGCACAGGGTTTTGGTGCACTTGTAGCAGGACACAGGAAGCCAGGTGAATATGATTTATTTGGCATAAGCCTAGGAAATCAGACATTTTAATTTCAGTAGAACGAAAGATCATGCTCCAATGTCCCTGTACACTAATGCCACAGAACAAATTTGAGCTGTAGAAAGCAAGCAGATTTTGTTGGTTTGCCTGAAATGATAATGGATGACTCGGAAGTTCCCACTTGGGTTCACCTGTGGATTTGGGGGGGATCACAGCTCCCAGGCTAGTTTTTGGCTCTCATAAAAGCCAGACACTTAGGAACAAAATAGTTCTTCACATTTTTTTTTCATACCTCCCCATTGCCACTTCTGTCCAAAACTGGGACCGGGTTGACTGGTGAAATTACATTTTTTCATCCACTGGATGTCAGTGTTACACTACGGCTGTGGTGCAATTCCAGGTACTGGGAAAGGTTTTTTCTTCTTCGGGGTGAGGACTTTTGGAAGACCTTTCCTCTGTGGTGGACAAATGACGTGAAAGACCATTGAAGCTCAGGGGAAACGGTCTCACTGCAGTAGGAATGTGCTCCCTTTGGCTTCTGGAGAAGCAGGCTGGGACCCAGCCTGCAAATGTCTTAAAGTACCAAACCTCACAGGGACTGTAGCTTGAGAAAGAGACGGACGCAATTCCACAACATATTAACTATTCCAATCTCACCTCCTTATACTGTGAAAATACACGGCCACTTCTTTTTTAAAATAAAGTTTACTTGTGATATCAGAGAGACAAAGAATGCTGCACCTGACAGGGATACAGTACACGAAAAGGCTGCTTGAAGGGACTTCTCTGAACAAACGAGGGGTGCTGCCATCTTGGGACAATTCCGAATGCAGGAACGAGAGGGGAAAAAACACTAGAAGCAGCGTCAGGGTTTTTTAGATCTGGTACTGGTTTATTAGTCCCAACTGTGCTGTAGCATCTTTTTTATAGGCTTATTGGATTTTTTTAAATTAATGTACCTGAATGGACTCTGGATAGTCACTAAAAGCTTCTGATACTGAAAAATCGTCTTTGCTAGCCCCGTCCTTTAGCTGCCGCTTAAAGTGTCTGAAGCAGAAGTCTAGTGGGCACAGAAATTAACCAATTAGTTACCTGTGGTACAGTTAAGAGATTTGGAAAGCCACAGTAAAATTCGTGCTGATGCTCTTTATGATACATTATGTTTAAGTGTTTTGGTATGAGATGTGGCGTTTAACATATGATATAATGCTGTATTTTACCTTTTTCTGAAATGCAGGCAGCACTGGAAAAGAAGATGGCTGTTGTTAAAAAGATTATTCGTTAAAAAGTAATAAAAGAATTGATGTTCTCATTATAAATAAAGACAGGCTGATTAGGTTATTCTCTTGCATAATTCTTTCCCCTGGAAACTGCTTTTTTATCTATCCTTTTCCTAGAAGACTTCAGTGAAGTTTCAGCAGGCGTATTACATCAATGTACAAAGGAATAAAACATGGATATTTGGAAACACTTTGATACTGTTTAAAATACCAATTATCCTTATTTAAAAGTATTTATCCTAATAATTACTTGCAGAAAAGATATCCGCTAAGGGTTCGGCATTTCCTGTTCCTTCAATTGAGTGGTGAAAGATTTCTCAACTATTCTCCTGCATCCTTCACGTAGCTTTTCAGGGAACAATCGAGAGAGAGGAAGTAATACTTTGTATGGCTGGGAGCTGTAAAAATGGGGATAGGAAAAAGGAATTTTTATTTAAAAAAGAGACGAGCAGATATCAACCCAATTAATTTTTCCTTTCTAGGTCACCTACAACAGCAGAGAACAAACACAAAAGAGCAGTTTAAGGAAAAAAAGAAGTAATGAATACTAGAATTACATGGAATAACATGAGGAAATTAGGGGGATAATGTCAAATGTAATTTTCAAATTTTTATGTTGGTCAGATGATGAGTCCTAACATTCCTGCTTTACAAAAAACATGAAAAAATATCCTTAATGACTGTTAGTGTTCAGGATCATTCAAGAATCCGAGCTTTAAGTCCCAGTCAGCCACCTTCACACCTATAACTGTTCTTAATATAATAGGCTTATTTTGACATTACCTATTTTTATGTGTCATACCCAGGAAAGACATGCAGTTGCAATAGAAACAAGAGCGGATTATGCATTTCTTGGGCAAAGAGCTCAGCAGAATTTTCAATTTGTTGTGCTCTCGTGCTCACATAATTCTATTAGAAGGAAAAGGGAAAAAGAGAAGGTTGTCAGCCCACAGCTAAAGGGAAAAATTACCAATATGATGGCAATGTTCTTAAATAAAGAACAACTTGTAATAGTATTTTGGTTTGATTTTTTTTTCCCCCTGGAGGCAAAAATAAAACAATGCTTCATTAACATTATTTGAAGCTATTTTAAATATTGCCATTTTCAACAAAACAATGTTAACAGTGGGTTTTTTAAGTGGAAAAAGGCAATTAGGAAAATGTTTTGAATAATACTGTATTCTTCTACCCAAACAGTCTTTTTTGGTCTATTTTTTCACTGTGTTGGCTGAGGAAGATGCCTGCTTTGTGCTTTCAGAGCTGAAA